TTTTGGCGGGGTCTACCTGGCAACCCTCCTCCCCCATGCAGGGCTGCTGCTGCTGGCCCCGATGCGGGGAGGGGCAGCAGGAGCTAGTAGCCGCACGAACAGGGGGGGGGCTGGTTTATGTTCCCAGCCTCCTCCCCCAAGCTCCTGGTTGCCACTACCAGTTCCCCCTGCATGGGGGGCAGGGCCAGCAGCCACGCACATGAGGGGAGGGGGCTTCCGCACCAGGAATGGATATGGGACAGCAACAAGAGCCAGCTGCCCAGCATGTGGGGGAGGGCAGCTCCCGACCCTCATAGGGCTAGAGCAGCCCTCTTCCTGCAGCCGGCTGCTCTAGGGTACTGGTTACTCAGTAACTGGGTGAACCAGTTACCCACCCACTCACCCCTACTGTAGACCTCAGTGAATATACAGCTATAGTATATCAATAAGGAGCCTGGTGGCACCTTAAAGGCTAACGCAAGCTTTCATAGGCAATGACACAGCTGATGAAGTGGGTTTTTCCCCATGAAAGCTTATGTCCAAATAAATCTGTTAGTCTTTAAGGTGCCTCAGGACTCCTCGTTTTTGCGGTTGTGGACTAACATGACTACCCTTCTGATTTTAATATAAATATCTCAACAAATTTCACTTATCAAAAACTTTGCTCCTATATACTTAAACTAATATAACAAAGGAACTGTAGTAAAAATTATTTTCCTGTTTTAAAAGCAAATAGGATCAAACTCAAACCAGCCAATAAATGTTGTGCAGATAAGCAATGGCATTGGTACCTAAATCTAAAAGAAGGGAGTTGTCTGGCTCAATTAAAAGGATGAAGTCTGAGTGATGACAGGGTCCAAATCATTGTTGTGGGGATTCATTGCTCATAGACAAATTTTATAATACCTCCTTTAGATTACACTGCAGAAAATGAGAAGATAATATGTTCCTAACATTAAAGGCACTCTCTTTATAAGCATGTTCTTACATGTATCTTATTTATAAAATACTGAATCTTTGTCTTATCTGCACTGTTCTTCCTGAACAATCACAAACTTGAATATATTCCAAGAACTAGTATCTTATTTCCGACTTCTGTGAGTTTTAGGGAAAACTCATTAACTGAGAGGCTGATTATGTTGTTAATTTATGTTTTCCATTTATGTGAAGTAAATATTTAAGTATACTGTATTGTTCATATTTACTCACACTAGTGAGTCCTTTAAAGCAAGAACAAAGGTAACAGTTCATCAACATTCAGAGTGAAAGTATAAACACCAGGAAGTCACCCACTATATATTAATTTCCTCCATTTGCAGCTGTCCCCCCCTCCCCCCCCCCCATATCTGAGACTATTGTTTTGGAACTACTACTTAATGGTAGAAACCAGAAGGCACTGATCTGACTCAGATCGGTATGCTAGTTACACAAATGTGCTAACAAAAGCTGGCAATTACTGATGTTTCATCGGCAGGCACTTCCAGTAGCGAGCTTGCTAGACAACAAAATGAAATATGAAAAGAAAAAAGTATTTCAAAACGTGTCATATGTTTCCCCCCCGCTGAAGTGAGAAGGGAAGACATCATCATCGTGGGAAGACATGTCAGCGCTTAGCCATCCATAAAAGTGTTTTTCCTTGTGCTCCTCCTTGCGATCACAATACTGGCGTCAGTTTGTCTCCTGTATCTGTTCTCCCCCTCCCTCCCTCTTGCAAATCTCTGGCACAGGGGGCTAGCAGCAGCAGCAGTCAGCAAAAGGGGCGAGGGGGTGGGGGGGGAGATACACAAGCATATTGTAGCCCAAGGAAACAATCCGCGTCGCAGCTGAGAAACACTTGAGCAGCAGACACTGAACTTGGGTTTGCACGCCTGGAAGGTAAGTACAATGCAGAGCAAAGCCAGGGACGAGCTGGACGCACCCACCCCGGGGTGAGGCCATGTCTGTCACTGCCTCTCCCGGACCGGGCTCGGGA